GGTCGCGGGAGACCGCGGCGCGGACGGCCGTGTTGGCGGCCTGGAAGAAGGCGAAGCCGGCGGCCACGGCGGCCAGCTCGCGGCGTCCCCGGGCGCCGATCTCGAACCCCACCGACACGGCCCACAGCACCAGCGTCGCCGCGAAGAAGGCGCTCGTGTCGCCCGCGCCGGCGCGGCGGGGCGGCGGCATCGGGGCTCGTGCCGTCTCCGCGTGGCGAGCCGAGAGCCGCACCCGTCCACACGCTAGCCGGCTAGTCCCCCCCTCCCCTCTTCGTCGGCCGCTTGGATTGGACCGCCCGCTTGTTGCTTTCCGGACCTAGAACCCGACACCCGGGCCCCACCCCTAGGGGAGAGAGAGAACCGATCCTTCGAAATTTGAAACGAAAATAATTCGATCTAGTAGAAAAAGAGGAAAAGAAATGCCCCGGGCGTAACGTCATCCATCTCGCTCGCTGGGCCGTCCCCCGTCGGCTCGATCCCCACAGCCCAACCACCACCAAGCCGGCCGGCCACCGCGAGCGGGGGGGTTGATTTCCCCATGGCGTCCAAGCAGATGGAGGAGATCCAGCGGAAGCTGGCGGTGCTGGCCTACCCGCGCGCCAGCGCGCCTGCGCAGTCCCTCCTCTTCGCCGGCGTCGAGCGCTACCGCCTCCTCGAGTGGCTCTTCTTCCGGTACGCCCGCCCCCGCATTTCCGCCCCGCCCGCCCTCCGCCGTGTGCCTCGGCGCGGGTTCTGGGGCTCGTAGGGTTTCCGAATTGAGGATTTCGTTTGCTGACCTGCTGCTGCTGCTGTGGTCCGGAGGCTGCTGGGCGACAGATCGCCATTCACGCAGCAGAACTGGCAGGGGGACAGCCTCGACCGCGACGAGGAGAACAGCAGGATCCAACGTAAGGTTTCTGCTCCACCTGTTTCGCCGCGCTGAATAGGGAGTGCTTGCTCGTGCCTTGTGCTGATGGTTGGGGTTATGCAGACTTGGCGGAGATCGCGAATTTCCTTGGTATCACGCCTTCAGTCGACACTGAGGCGATTCAGGTGAGAGGAATGCAGCTCTTTGTTCTAGGAAGCTTACATTTGTTGAGTATTAGATTTTGTTACACACAGATGGCAGATCTCTGGTGTGTGGTGAAAATCGCAAACTCAGATTCAGCGTTTGTCATCTTTTGTGGGATTGCAGGGCAGAGGCAGCTACGACGAGCGGGTGGAGCTCCTCCGTCTAATTGTTGACTTGGTGGAAGCTAGCTGCTATGCCGACAATCCAGAGTGGAGGTTAGGTTGGTTTGCACTTTACTGTCTGTGGTATACTTTTGCTATGCTGATTATGCAAAGGCATTAGTCAGATTCTGATGTCGGTAGCTATTTTCAGTTAAACCTTTTCTAGCACTGTAAGCGGAAAGGAATGTTTGATGCAAAATGTACTGTGTTGTACAGAAAATATTAGATGATGCTTTAACCTCAATATTAGGGCATCTAAAACATAAACTTTCTGACAAATTGCTCCCTGGCAGTGTTGATGAGCAGTTGGCAAAGGACGTACAACTTGTAGATTCCATTGCAGAGAAACAGGCACAAATATTTTCAGAGGAGTGCAAGCTTTTTCCTGCAGATGTCCAAATACAATCAATTTACCCCCTGTAAGTACGCCCAATTTGATGCTCTTATCATTTGTGTTATTTAGAGGGCTCGGATTTCTAGCACCCTTATAACTCCTTAAATGGTATTAATCCATCTTGCTGTCTTGTGACCCCCAGTTGACTAGCAATTTAACGAACCAGTGAACCACCACTATTTCACTGAGTTAAATTATCATTTTGCAGGCCTGATATAGCAGAACTAGAGTTGAAGCTCTCTGAGTATACCAAAAAGATGTCAAATCTGCAACAGATGGTGCAGGAGCTAGCCTCAAAGGTATATAAACACATTACTGGATCCTACTTCTGTATTCGTATAATTGTGATCATATATTTAAAATCAATCTATACACTTCTATCTGAAATTCCCATGCATATCATGTTTGTTAGTTTGTTGACAGTACCCTGCAGTATGCTATTTGCGCTAACAGTGGTCTCTGCTGCCCAGTATGACTATAATCCGAACGAAGACTATGCCGAGACAGAGTTGAAGTTGAGGGAACATTTGCAATCGTTTCTTGAAACAGTAAAATCCTTCAATATGATATACACTAAGGTGAACATCTTATGCAACGTTATGTAATTTTCTCCCTGTATCTCCTTATATTCCAGACAAATAACCTTGACATGAATATCATTTGTACTTCTGATTATCATTTTTCATGTGTTTTGAGTTGTTGGATGATAGAAGTTATTTGTCGTTGTAGGAAATTCATCCTTGGACCCACATGATGGAGGTGCCACAGTTGCATGGGTTTGGTCCAGCTGCTAACCGCTTGTTAGAGGCTTATAACACACTTTTAAAGGTACTATCTAAATATATTTTTATTCGTTTATTGGTCACTTTGTTGCTCATTTGAATTTCTTGTCTATCTCTGACGGTCTGACCTATATGTCATGATCTGGTTATTTGAACTTTTGATGGGATGAAAATAGTAGAAGTTCATTTGTCAGTAGGTACTCAGTATGTCAAAATACTGTCATAGTTTTATGATATTTCTTTCAAGTTTCAGTGACTATTTATTATCATAGGTTATTTATTGTCCTGCAATATGAACTTAATGCACAGGACAGATGTTTGTTTTTCCCTGTCAAAAACTCAAAAATAGCCTCGTATAAACCTTATTGGTGTTATTTTTGAAATGCTGATGGCCGGCAATATTATCTTGTGAACTCTAGTCAACAGGAATTAAACACCCTGCTACAAATTCTAAAGCAAATCTGGGTAGCTTCAGATATCTATAAGCCTGGAAGTTTCTGTGTAGTGAGTAGTCCTTGTATTCTGTTCTATGAAATGTATCTCCAAAATAGTAGTATAAGATAACATGGTATAGCTTTATGTAGAATTACACTGTGTCATCCGTTTAAAATAATACCACCTCTTACTTCAAACTTTTACAGCTCTTGTAGTAATTCATGCCCTTTCAAGTAGTTAGCGTGCTCTGGCTAAGTGCTGACAGCGTCAACCATACTCTTACAAAACATGCTTTGACTTGAGTGCTTATTTATGATGTGCAGTTCCTTGGAAATTTGAGGAGCCTGCGAGATTCATATACAGCAATGGCAGCTGGCTCACTTTCAAATTCAAGCGAGCCTTCATCCGTCACAAAAATCATTTCAGACTGTGAATCCGCGCTCACGTTCTTAAACAACAGCCTTGCCATCCTTTCAACTTCCGTGGCACGGGAGCAGGGTGAAACGCTATGATTTTATGGCCATCTTATACCAAGATTCAACTCTGGTACACGTGTGTAAGCTTGTAGTGATTCAGCTGTTTGCCTTTTGGTTTCAGTTGAGGCGCGGAGTAAAGCTTGTGTTCCCATTGTCGGTGTGGTCGTGTATTTGTGTGTGGTTGTTGATTCTTTTGCAGTTGTAACTTGTGACGTTCAGTGAACAATTCTTATAAACTTGATAGCATAGCACTAGTTAACTGTGTTTCTACATTCATAGCGAAACTGATTGTGATGGCTTATGGATTATGTCTCTGCACCTCATTGGTGCATTCTTCGACTGCCTGGCATATTATCCAATACCATGTCGATCAAGATTGGCTTTGTCTTATGAAAGTTTATTGAGGGAGTATTTGGGTTATATTAATTAAGGAAACATTCAGAAAATATCCTATGAAAACTTAGAAATGCATCTAAATATGAGAAAATCCTTTTGAATTTAATTCGTCATTGTTTGTTTGCCGGTCGTTGCACCACCAAAGAGAACAAATTCGTCATCTGTCGGAGCTAGAGATGATCTTCAGGGAGGAGAAAGTTTGGCAAGTAATTAAAAACATGCACCCAGATGGCGCACCTGGACCGGATGGATTCGGTGCTATGTTTTATCAAAGAGCTTGGCCAATCATCAAGAATGACATAATGGCGGCGCTTGCCAAGCTTGCACTGGGAGAGAGCAGAGGATTCGCAAGACTTAATCGAGCCCTCATAGTGCTCATACCCAAAAAGACGGATGGCGTTGGATGTGGGAGATTTCCGGCCGATCAGTTTACCGCATAGTTTTTCCAAACTGCTCGCCAACAGAGTTCGAAAGCAAATGCCCGAACTGGTGGGAGTGAACCAGTCTGCATTCATAAAAGGGGGAAGCTTGCATGATAATTACCTCCTGGTGAGACAAGCAGCCACGAAAATCCATGCGAGGAAGAATCATGGGGTCTTTCTTAAACTGGATATCACACGTGTGTTCGACTCCCTCTCGTGGCCATTCCTGTTCGAGGTTCTCCGAGCCAAAGGATTCGGTACGCTGTATCTAAATTGGATCGCCGCCCTGCTTCAGACTGCTAATACGCGTGTGCTAGTTAATGGAGTCCCCTGGAGGAGAATTTGGCATGCCAAGGGACTTAGGCAAGGGGATCCGGTCTCCCATTTGCTCTCTCGTCGTTGCTATGGAGGCACTCTCGGCCATTATTACTAGGGCCTTGCAGGAGGGAGTACTAAGCAGTTACATGGGCATCTAGGCGATGCAGAGACTGTCCATATATGCAGATGATGTCGCCCTCTTTGTGAGGCCATCCATGCCGGACCTCGAGTTTGTCTGGAATGCATTGGAGATATTTGGTGAAGCTTTTGGCCTTAGGGTCAATTACAAAAAATCGTCAGCAATCCTAATAACGGAAGATCAGGAAGACCGGGCCAGAGTGGAGAGCCTCTTGCAATGCGCCATCGGGGAATTCCCCTGTAGATATCTAGGGTTCCAGTTAGCTATCAAGAAGCTTACCAAGGTGCAGTGGCAACCGCTCCTAGACCAAGTTAGACACTTTATCCATGCATGGCAGAGAGGTCTTATGCAGCGCTCGGGTCGGCTCGTGTTGGTGAAATTTGTCATCGCGGCTAGACCATTTCATCACTTGCTTATCATGAAGGCACCGGCTTGGGTCCTCGAGGACATCAACGGTTGGATGAGAGCCTTCTTTTGGGCTAGAAAGAACCAAGTAAATGGAGGCCAATGCTTAGTGGCTTGGAACTCAATCTGCAGACGGCTTAGCTACAGTGGACTTGGAGTGAAGAACTTGAGTCTGCAAGCCCTAGCCCTTAGAGTGAGATGGGAGTGGCTTAGGCGTACCGAGTTGCACAGGCCATGGCAAGGTCTTCATATGCTGATTGATGATGAGGCGCGGCAAGTGTTTGGTAGCCTAGTGATGATAACCATTGGCAGAGGATACAAAGTGCTACTCTGGAGGGATAGATGGATTCACGGTTTTGCAGTTCAGGACATAGCGCCATTGCTGGCCCGAGGAGTGGACACAAAGACGAGAAATACTAGGACAGTGGCTCAGACTTTGAGTGGAGAGAGATGGGTTCAGGAGCTGCAACCCCAACTCTCTTATGGAGCGCTGATTCAGGTCATGCACCTTAGGCATGCGATCGCTACAGTGCCGAGAGATGTGCAGGTCGAGGACACCTTTGCATGGCCACATGACAAATCAGGTGTGTACTCGGCAAAGTCCACCTACACCCAGTTGTGCATGGGTGGGATTCGATCCTCGATGGCCATTGGGATTTGGAGAAGCTGGGCCCCGCTCAAGTGCAAAATCTTTGCATGGCTAGTGGTGCAACACAGATTGTGGACATCAGACAGGAGAGCACGGCATGGCTTGCAGGAGGTGCCTTCCACTTGCTATACTTGCATGCAGGAAGAGGATAATGTCGAGCACATTCTGGTGCAATGTGTCTACGTGCGCGAGGTGTGGCACACATGTTTTGACACATTGCAGCTTACTGTTTCGACTCCGAGCAGAAATGATACCTTTGTCGAGTGGTGGCTCGGTACGAGGAGAGGCTTCCAAGGCAGGACAGGAGGGGATTTGACACTTTTGTCATCGCAGCTGCTTGGTTGCTCTGGAAGCAACGGAATGCGTGAGTCTTCAATAGGCAGGAGCAGCAAAAAACACCAGGAGAAACTGCTAGAGGGATCATCGACGGGATTCGAGACTAGAAGAGAGCGGGTATAGGTGTAGGAGGCCTAGATAGATTTGTGAGAAGTTGATATAAGAACATTTGTAGGGTGTGGGTGTTCCGACGATGATGTTCGCATTAACCGTTGGTCTCTTGTAATTATCTTTGATCCCTTCTATAAAGATATGGCACGTCATTGGCGTACTCTCGAAAAAAAAAGAGTAACAACTATGTCGCCTATGCATACCCCTCATTGTTGTTGTTGTAACCACTTGTCATGTATGGCGGGATCGGCACAAGGCGCGGGGATTGGCGCGGGGCATGCCCTGCCCTGTTTCGACATGAATCGATGACTGATTTACTATCACCCTCGCATGGGATCAGTCTACACACAAGACGAGATCATCGGCAACAAGATAGAAACCAAGCCGGCACCGCACAAATGATGGAGCATATTGTCGACAATGACACTAACCCACCAACTAATCAATGTCCTTGACTAGGCAACACCGCCGCCGACACCATACTCTAACCCTGACTACATGTCAAACACGCAAAGACAGGGTTCCCACCACCACCCCCGCCCGTTGGAGCAACAAATGGAGGGCGGGGGAACCAGGTCTGGGCCGGGGCCTTATCGCCTAGAGAGAGGAGAGGTTGAGAGTCATCGGCTTGCTTGTATATGCAAATAGGGTCGAAGGTCGGCCCTATTTTTGGTGGAACTTTTGTTATCGGCACACATCCAATGTGTTTGACATCTATTCAGAAGGAGAATGGAAGCTTAGAGGAGGAAGTTGTGTTGAGGCAAAATATGGGATGTGCCATTTTATTCATAATCCTTTTTTTGGTATATTTAGGCAGATTTTGGTAATAATGATACTCCCTCCGTCCGAAAAAGCTTGGAACGGAGGGAGTATATGATTATGGGGGCTAATAGTATTCGTGGTTGTATGTATATGTTTTAGCCGCAATGAAATGAGACCAACGTGATTGGAAACACGCGCATTCGCGCGCGCACACACACACACAATTTTATAAGGATAGAAGAAGACAATGTGTTCCAGTTTGCACGGTATATAATTGAGTATTTGCATCTCATTTAGTCGAATAGGAACACCTTACCATATCATTTAGACAGCTTGTGCGAGGAACAAGAGTGGGATTCATACCACGTACATATAATAAACAACTAACATTTTGTGCTCAAGCCCCTAAAGACGGGGTCGATAAGATACATGAAAACCATGACTATAGACTACTATGAGATTCCAACCCCTCCACCCAACTTTGATTTGTTGGGAAGAAAAGAAAAGTAAAAAAGGGACACTAGATTTGTGGTTTCACCATGTTCTTTGTATTGCTTGTTACTTTTGGGATTGTGAGGATCTCTAGACGGTTTGGTGTTGTCCAGAAGCTTCCAAAGTTCGCAACACCGCCCTCGCGGATTCAGATTCTTCCTCAAACATGTACCGAGTGGCTAGAAAGAGCGAGGATTATGTCAATAAACTGCGTAGGAGTCTAGGTCTCAAGCACTGCATCTCCCATGACGGAATAGGAAAAGGTGCAGGTATAGCTCTCTTCTATGATGAGCAAGTTGAAATAAAGAAACTCGCTGTTGGCCCGCGGTATATTGATGTATTGATGTGTTGGTTCGTCTAAATCCCCATGGCCGGCTATGGCGGGGTACATTTGTGTATGGAGAACCTAAAGCCAGTGAGAGGCACCACATGTGGGATCTCCTACGTAGAATCAAACCGAGGTCTAATGAACCTTGGTTCATGATAGGAGATTTTAACGAGACAGCTTGGCAACATGAGCACTTTTCCCAATCTCAGCGAAACGAGAGGAACATGGCAAATTTCAGGGAGGTGCTTGCTGACTGTAATTTGTTGGATCTTGGCTTCAAAGGCCCGAAATGGATATATGACAATAAACAGAGCAGAGCGGACAATGTGAAGGCAAGGATAGACAGAGGGGTGGCTGATCAAGAGTGGAATGCAATTTTTCCAAATGCTTCAATCGAGCACTTATGTACGTCCAGATCAGACCACCTTCCTTTATTGCTCAGATTTGGTCAGAGAGAGGAATGGCGTCCTATTAACAAAATCTTCCGATACGAGTACATGTGGGAAAGAATGGATTCGTTGACTGAAGCTATAGTGAGCAAGTGGAATGAGGATAAACCGGCTGAAAATTTGTCTGAGATATCACAAAAACTGCCAGTCTTGCAAAAGACTCTGAATGATTGGGCAAAACAAAATTTTGGGTCCATAATTAAGCAAACCGCGGCCATGAGGAAGCAGCTGGAGTATCTTTGGTCTAGACCTGCTTCAGCATCCAGAGATAAAGAAATTAAAGCGGCGGCTAAGAACTTGGACGAACTGTTGCATCGCGAAGAAATGATGTGGAGGCAAAGGTCGAGAGCTCTTTGGTTGCGGGAGGGAGACAAAAATACAAAGTACTTTCAGCGCAAAGCTACGTGGAGGAGGA